ATTTTATCTAAAAGTTTGTCCTTGAACAATTTCCAGGCATCGTCTGCTATCGTGCTTTGTGATGATCTTTTCCTTTTCATTGATTCAGCACTTACCTTTGAGCCGTATTTTTCAAATGTGTTGAATTTGCCTTTTATCAACTTAAAAATGTGGATCTCATGCATATTTACAATGCAAGATGCGACAGTTCTAGAAGAGGTCAGTTGTATCAACTGCTCTGTAAGTCCACAAAAAACTCTGTTATCCATCGAACAGGCAGAACTTTGCCATGTGTAAAACTTAGCATATTTTTAAAATAAAATTACCTTCTTACTTTGAAACTAATAATTTAGAGATTTACTAATAGAACTTCAAATGAGATTGTCCTCAAATTAATACTGAAAATGAAGAGAAGTAAAATTCAAACAGGAAATCTTGAGTTATAGTTTTGTGGCTGACACCAAGAAACAGCGGTAGTATTAAAATGATAGCTGATACTATCATAGTATCAGTTTCTCTGATGATCAGATAAGAGGCGCAAAGAATATTGTCTGAAAATCATGTTTCCAGTGTTGGCTGATAAAGATGGTGGATTATATATTTCACAGGCTATAACCTAATTCAAAGTTATTCTCTTCTTCTATTAAAAAGAGAACACAAAAAACTTGCTTGTTTTTCTTTGAATGTTATTTTTCCTTTGATTTACCATGACTAATTCTGTTATCACATTTAAAAAAAAAATGCATATCTTGATGATGATCAACACTGGATTTAATTATTGATAAGGCTGAGTTTTGGCTTGAATATTATTTAAAGATTATAGGGAAAGAATGGTCAAAGTAAAAATTGCAGAGCCCTGACCCTTGACATATGAGAGTTGCATGAAAGGGCGAGAGATGAGGATAGGATAGTTAATATTTTTTCCTCCAAAGAGTGCAATAAGGCAATATTTTACGAAAACAAGTAGTGAAACTAAATCCCTGTGGGAACTGTTTCCCTTGCTTTAGACATACTCAAACCTATATATAAGGATGCTCTTAAAGCAAGTGTTGAACACTGCCTGCACTTCTTCCTTTGGGTTTACCTGAAACTCAGTTCTTGTAATTTATATTTCCAGTGACATTATCGCTGCTGTTAATTTGCTGTGCTAACTTGCTATGCAGCAATATTTATGGAGAATTCTGGGGCTCTGATGATTAACAGACTGAAATTAGTCAGAAAGAGGATCTAACATCTGATGAAACAGAATCTCCAGCTTTTCCTAATGTACACCAAAAAAAAAAAAAAAAAAAAAAAAAAAAAACACCTAAAAACAAGAAAAAAAATGTTTAGTAAATAGAAATAATTTTTAACTTCTGTTAGCATCTGGCAAACAATTTAAACAGCATTTGTTTAGCTTTAAACTCTATAAATAATTTGGTAATAAAAAGCGAATACTACTGTTAAGAAAAATAATATTTTTATGTGCAAAATCATAGAAAATTAATTCAATAGGAAAGAAAGCAGTGCTCAACATTTATTTGGCTTATCTGAGACATGACGATTTTACTAAATATTTTGATAGAAGAGAGAAATTTTTCACCAGACTTTTTTTTTTTTTTTTTAGTTCTTATTAATACATACCTCAGTCTCTATGCAATAAACAGTTATAGGAGAGTACAGCAAGATTCATAAAGTATTTCATGGATAGTAAGTTTGTTACAATTAATGACAATTATTTCAGATAAGAATATATAAATTACATGTTGGGGGGATTATGCTTGCATTAAACTATGAAAAACTGCAATGTTTTCTAATACAAGAAGGAAATTGTAATTCTTCATAATTAGAGATTTGAAGGTACAGCATAATTAAGCGTTGTTTCTTCTGTCAAAGAGTCTGCATTTCTATTCTCTATTTCATATTATCAGTGTTATGGCTTCAATTTCTCTCTAAAAGGAAAGCAAAATATATATATATTTTCCCCTGTGCTTTAGATTTAAAAGATTGTTCTGTTTTGCAATACTTTTTATTTCCTTAGGTTTCCTTTTAGAATTTTCTCATTGCAGGAGACACTAGGAAGTAGGTTAAATAGAACTGAATGTAAGATTTTTACACAGATCAGAGCACTGGGTCATCTCTCCTGTAGTCAATCATACTTCCACAGAGGTTCATACAGAGACCAGAAAAGCATTTAAACCAATCCAAAAGGCCACAAGATGTCAGGTTCTCATTCCAGTTAGATACATTATGATTTCTTTTGTCATGTTCTGACCTTTCTTTAATTAATAGAAGTTAACTGATCTATTATTATTATTTTTTTTTTTTGCCTATGATTGCATTCAAACATATTAAACAATAGGGTATGGCACTTAATATGTGTGAAAAGAAACAGAAGTACTTAAAACATAATTTAGCAACTGCAGTAATTAGTAATTGCACGCATTTAGAGACTCAGTGGAGGCACTTTCAACATTTTTCATATTGAGCAGCATCAACCACAGTAAGGAGTGTCAGTGAAATTACCACTAAGTAAAGATATTTTTTTTGATTAGCATGTAGGAGCATAAAAGTCTGGTCCTTACACATCTGGCATTTCTTTTTAAAATATCTGGAACTCTTAATTAAGATTAAAAAAAAAAAGCTTTTTTGGGGGTTAACCCATCCCCATATGCCGACCTAGCTGCTCTCTCACTCCCCCTCAGCAAGATGGGGTGAAAATACAATGAAGAAACTCATGAGTTTTGAGACAAGAACAGGGAGATACTTCACTAATTACCATCATGGGCAAAACAGATTTGACCTGGGGAAGATTAATTTATTTACAATGAATAACAGAGTGGGGCCTCTACATGAGATACAGTCATTCATGAACTGATCTAACATAGGTCCTTGTCACTAGAAGAACTTCAAGAACTGCGCAAGCACATGTCCCCCCATGTACTGCCATATCCACCAGAAAACATGCTTCTACAGTGGCTTCAGTCTGTGTTTCCTGCCAGAAGTCTGCAGCTTCCTTCAGGCCACTGATTAGGCAAGGGTTTCTTCAATGGACTGCAGTGTGTTTATTCTTACGTGGTATTCCAAGGACTGCAAAGAATAACTGCTTTGTCAAGGTCCTCCCCATGGGCTGCACATGAATCTCTGCTCTGGAACACTTCCTACTCTCCCTCCTTCACTGACTTTGATGACTGCAAGTGTTGTTTCTCTTCCATTTTTCTCACTCTACTCTCTCACAACTGCCTGCAGAACTTGTTACACTTTCTTAAGTATTCTATTAAAGAAGTGATACTAGTGGTTTTGCTTTGGGCAGTGGTGGGTCCCTTTTGGATTTGGCTGGAACTACCTATGCTGACACAGGAGGAGCTGATGACTTCACCTTACAGAAGCCATCCTTGCAATCATCTTATGGCTCCCCCTACCTCACTACCAAAACCTTGCCATGTAAACCCAGTTCACCTTTTCATTTTTAAGCAAGATATTCTGAATTGTCAAAAAGAATAACAGGAGCCAACACTGCCAATCATGTATACACATAGGATGATAAGATAAACAATGAACCAAGTGCTACTTAAAGACAACTACTTGAAAGCATCTTCCTTAGTGCTTTAATGTTTTCATGCTGGTATATGAATCTTTATAAGCACTCACACTAAACTACCTGCTTGAAAAGAAAGACATGTATTTTTTGTTTCTACATTAGAAAGTGGAAATTATATTGAAAATATTATAGATCTTTAATAAGGACTCCAGTTGGTTACTGAATCTTTTTTTTTTTTTTCTTTTTTTTTTTTTCCTTTTTTTTTTTTTTAAATAGGTACCATGAAATTAATACTTCAGTGTAAATTATTCCTCTGTTGGAGTTTCCACATTATAACTGCAGTGAATGTTACTGTTTGTAGCAAAAGCTCTATCACAAGATAAAAACTTCTGTTTCTTTTTGTATACGTCAATTGAAACAACCTATTTGAAGACTTTGAGAGTGAATGAAAAAGCTAAAAGCAAAAAGAGGTTAATAAAAGTCAATATCTCCCCTTTGAGCAGCATCAATCAATTTGAGTGAAATAGATTCCCTGTTTGCCAAATAAATAAAGTACTTTGTACCACAAATGACCTGGACAATTCTTCTTGGGTTTTGTCATTATCAAGAAATACCTGGTGGTAGTTAACTTACATTAACTATTTAACGGGTATATTCATATTAAAATATCTGTTTCTGTTAGACAATTTATAAGAAAATATCAATATTACTACAATACATATTGATATTTTCAATATTACATACTGAAATACATAAAAGTCAATGCAGAATAAAAACTCATATCTGACTAATGTCTTAATTCTGACTGAGCCAGTACTTTGGAGTAGGTATTACGTGCTTTACTTGCAGTGCTAATGCCTTCATAACTAAACGTACACCTAGTGCTGTACTGTTGCCAAATATCCTAGCAATACTACAATAACTGGAAGATTATTCAGTGAAATCTCAGGACAAGGTCTAGTATTCAATAAAGTGTACAAATGACTGTTCTTTTCTCATGCTTAAATGTTAAATAAAAGACACATTTTCCCCTTTGCATTTTGAATTATTTGATATGCACTCCATTTTTTTCTCAGCTAGCAGAAAAGAACTTTTCTGGCTGCCTATGCAAAGTAGAATTAAATTTAGAATAATTCAACTATAGATTCAAAAATGGTAACCTGTAACTAAATGGATAAATAAGAAATGATAAAAGCTGGAGTAACAGGGGACAAACATTCTTCCACCAGTATTGAGTTATATATATGAGTACATCAAGGCTGTGTTAATATGCAGAACCATCTTCTAAATTGTTTAGAACAAAAAAAAACAAAAAAAAAAAAGAAAAAAAAAAAAGAAAAAAAAAAAAAAAGAAAGAAAAATAAAGCAAGTGAACAAATCAACAAAACAAATGAAACCAAAACAACCCAAAGTACTATGCAGATCTATAGAGAGGGAAAATCACTTGCCTGTGATTTTGCACTTCTCAGGGAACTCAGATATGTTTTGCTCAGAAGTAAAGTCTCAAGTAAGCTTCTTCAGGCTATTTGTAGTAGAATGATTCAAACATTCTTCCAAAGCAAAAACAGAGTATGTCAAACCACAATTTTTTAATTATTTTTTTTAATAAATCCCTGGTTTTTTTGGCTACATGCTTTCATTTAGTTCTTTAACTTTTATAACAGGGGAATAATAGTATTACCCTATTACAATGACTTCATCAAAGGATGAGTAATTGAATACATAAAATGCAGTGATTCTGTTAGTATTAGAAAATGAAGGGTGACCTTGAAATCTGTCATAAAAAAGAAAATACTTTGTTTCCATTGTTAAGGTACTTCTGGCATGAATTCTAAAAGAATGAGTCTCAATGATATTTGTATCCTTTTCACTTGTAGCTTGAGAATAAAGTAGATATAATGATTTTAAAATATCAGTGGATACCATTAGGCTGTGACTGAAGAAAATAAACTACTTGAGAAATGAGTGATCATATAGAATAGGAGCAAGTGGATAGAACTCATGAATTTTCTAGAAAATCAAAATTAAGAAATCAATGAGAATACAAGAGAGTGTCCCAAAAGGGAAGTCACAGATCTGCAAATGTACTTGAGATGTATGAGAATAATGACAAATATTTTGAGGGTGGCTGCAAACATGTGAATAACAATATATTGCTATTAAGATAACAGAGATGGGAGAAAAATGTTGGAAATTGAGAGAAAGACTGTTGAAAAAATAAATGAGGAAATGTAAAGTTGCTTTCTAGAGAATACGTTTATTACTTTATCATAGAATGGGCAAATAAATTCAGAATTTGAAAATTCATGGAGTAATGGTAAGTAGAAATAATAAGATTGAGTATTTTACAAGTGCTTAAAGATATTACAGTCTATGCAGCTCTTTCTGTTCATTTGTTTTACCTGTTTTGTTCTTTTGTTTTCTTTTTATTAAGGGGAAATTTCTGTATTCACACAACCACAATTCAGCAAAGAATGCTGGGAAGGCAGACTGGCAAATCTACTGCTAAGTCTTTCTTAAGATGTTTTCCATCCAGGGCATATAAAAAAGACACTTGGTGAAATCTCTCAATTTGACTGAATTTAAAGCTTATATTTTGCAAATATTACAATATCTTTCTCTTTGCATTTAGAAAGCCCTGTGTGACCTTAGGTGGTATATAAGAATGTTGAATCAGATATCACACTTCTGACCCAAGCTACAGCTATAAAAGAAGTCCCACAGTGATGATTTTTTTGAAGTACAAGAGTGAGCCAGTCCACATATCCCATTTTATAATCTTCAATACATATGCTATTTAGTTTTAGAGGTAAAGCTTATAGTCTAGAATCTGAGAAATCATTTGTTTCCATTTGTAACCTATCTTTGTTATTTTTCTCATCCATTATTATTATTTATTTATTGTAGTACAAAAGCTCTTCACATTAACTTCTGATTTAATTTGCTTCCTGTTCTGACTTTAAATGAGCTCCAGTTCAGCAGTGACTGGTCTCAAGTTTAAATCTTTTTTATTAGTAGTTGTGTGTTGATATGTCTGGAGTGTTTCTTGGTAGGTGGTTTTGGGAAAGCAAAACTGAATGTCTTCCACAGGTAATATCTGAAATCTGTCAAAGATCCAAATCAGGGCAAAATTTAAAACACGGCTTCATGTAATAATATTCATAGTTCTAGTGTTAGAGGAATTTATAGCATAGAGCTTCAATCATTTCTTAGAAGATGTAAACATAGATTTGCAAATATTCCAAGGAATGTGTAATAACTCTTCCAGAAATACGTGAGAAAGGCTTTCTTAAAAACGACAGCAAACAAAAACTAAACAAATCCTCTAAATACATTATATTTTCTGGGTTCATATTACCTGTATGAAATCAGTAATTAAGACGAGTCTCCCTTGGCATACTGCATTTAAATACTTTGAAAGTGCTTGGACTGTACATCCTGTAATATAAATGAAACATTAAATGCATATAAAATTTTCAACTACGGCTCAACAAAAAATTAGAATCTCACACTAAACCCATAATTATATAAAGGCAAAATCAGGAAGGTGAAAAAGCAATCTAACTGAGCATTTTGTTTTTCAGTCATAGGGATAAACTGGCGCAGAAAGGACCTTTTCCTTCTAAAAGAATATTTCATTATTTCACTCATCCTTTCACTAGCTTATAGAATGATTTATTTCAACATAAATCTTAGCAGGAAAATAAGCTTCAAAGTACCTGACTGTACATTTTCAAATGATTTTAAAAGAACTACATGGTTCCCAAGCAACATCTATTTCCCTATTTTTTTTTTAATACGTTAAATAACTCTTCATAACACCTTTCATCACGCCAACAAGATGAATGGTTATGTAAATAATAATAATTCAAGGAGGAAAAGAAAATGAAAAAATACATCACCATTCTATAAAAGGCGAAGCAAAATGATACAAGATATAACTGGTAATATATTAATTTATACATATATAAACTCTTGAATTTTGGGGTCATGAGACTATACTTCTCTTACTGCATTGCTTTTGAGAGTAAAAAACAGCATATTTTTAATGATCTTATGTTTGTAAATGTCTAGCAAAATAGCAACATGTCTTGAGTTATTTTCTGAATTCTAAAGAGTCTTAGGTATCTGAACAGCAACAAAAAAGTATTTAGGCAAGAAACAGATATAAAATTCACATTAATTTTCTCTTCATCACCTTATGATGAGAAATATTACAAGCTTCTGGCTGAATTAGGTTAGTTTTCCTTTTTCCTTGAGACAAAAAAACCAGCATACTACAATATCCTTATAGAAGCAGAAAGATTATTTTGTACCTCAGTTTACGGACTTGAAACATATACAAAATTCAAGAACTTCAGGCAGTGGTATATCATGTAGCTGACAATTACAGGATAACATCTATATGTACATGTCTTTAAGTCTAGCCCTTCCTTTTCAGGAAACGTCATGTACATGTGCATGACGGGGGTTTACATGCAGTGCTGGGAAAACCACAAATGTCAGTTGTTTGCCTTCCTTGGAACTCTGCCTACACATACATATGTACAGCAGTGTCAACGGTTTACGGGCTGGTTCAGCTCGGTTCCGTGACGAGCGGGGCGGAGGGATCCGCGGATCCACGCCTCTGGAAAAAAGGAAACAGGGGACCCCAAAATAATTAAAAACAGCGGCAATGATCTGAGGAGAAACAAACTAATTTACTAAGTATATTATCAGAATGCAAGGTAACACACTATAATACAATATAATCAGAATTGAAGTTAATAAATCAAATATAATGAGAGAGAGAATGTCCGAAAGGTGGATAGGCCTCACCACAATGCTGAGGTGAGATGCGCGGTGCAGTTGAGCAGCAGGGAGATGGGAGCAGCGCCCACGACGAAGGGCAGGCGAAAAAGAGCACATCAGGTGAACTTGCCAGGAGTTAAATCTCCTCTCCCTGACCACAAGGTCCCCTGGGGAATGTAGTTCTTCTCTTCTGGGCAGGTACCCAGGACTCGAGCATTAACAGTTAAAGTCCCAGTGCCCCACATGATGTTATGATGTGGAATACCAAAAGCCAAAAATCACAAAACCATGACAAGCAGGACTAGGAACATTTATTATGAGAAGGCTATAACTCTAAGAAATCACCAGACCTGGTAATACCATGGTACCTTTTCTGAAGGAAAAAAATTCATAAAGTGACTTCCTCTGACCTGTAGAGGGTGATGTGAAAGGAACTAAAAGTGCTTAGCAAGAACTTTAAAATTAATGCTTGACAAGAATGCAAGGTGGCTATTCCTTTTCCAAAAGCTTTATATTATGGGTAGGCAGCAGAGTTTCACTAGTAAGGGGCTGCAGGGTTCCCTGCGAGGAGAAGCTGGGGCTGCTACATGCTGGGCAGAGCTGATTCCCATTAGGTCCAGTAGTGAAGGGCAGGAGTGGGCCCAGCAGCCAAGATGGGGGTACTTCAGAAAAACCATCTTAAAAATAGTAAAAAAATGCTAGACAAAGGGAGGAAAGAAGTGAGAAAGGGCATTATGAACACCAAGGTCAGAGGAGGAGTGGAAGGAGGTGCTGCAGGTGCTGGAACAGGTATTTTCCTGCAGGCTGTGCAATACATTGAAGCATATAATCACAGTGTCATTCCAGAGCTCGTGAATATCTCCTGAAGGACTACATCCTGTAGAAAGTCCACACAAGAGCAGGGAAAAAATGAGAGTAAGAAGTAGCAGGAGAGTGCAACTGTTAAAAACTGGTTTCAATTCTCACTTCCCCACTTCTCTCTTTGCCACTTGAGGTGGGAAGAGGCAGATGTGGGAATGCAGGAATGGAGCTGAACCTGGATAAAATGTGGGGGGAAAGTGTTGCTTTTAATTTTGTTTTTATTTCTCACTTACTGTAATCTATTTTAGTTGGTAATAAATTTCATTAGCTTTCCTCTAGTGAAGTTTGTTTTGCCCATGATGGCAAGTGATCTCCTTGCCCTTATCTCCAGCCACAAGACCTCACCCTAAAGTCCCTATTGTAAAGTTTAAATATTGGCTTCTCTGGATGAAATTTACATGTTTTCAGACTACATCAGTGGTCTTTCTAGGTTCTTCCAATACCATTCCAGCAGTTATTACAGAGTAACGTATTTCTGCTGTTAAAGGATTAGATTGATAAATCAGCACACTGAAAAAAAAAAAAAAAAAAAAAAAACAACAACAAAAAAAAAAAAAAAAAAAAAAAAAAAAAAGCAGATGCCATCCAGGGACAAAGAGACTGATAACAGAACTTATTTTGCACTAGGGAACTTTTAGGTTTATTTAACCTTCAGTATAAAGGTTGCTTCCTATAGGAGTCATAAAACAGCCTGTAAATGGGTAACATTTTATAAACGACAAAAGGTGCAGAACATTCCTTTTGTATCTTATTTGAAGTTAAAAACTGCAAATAAGTCATTACAAATGAATAAAACCCACACTGTAAGAAAAAGAATGGTAAATGTAAATGATTTTTTGCATTAATACATATATGTTGGCTGGAAAAAAAAAAAAAAAAAAAAAAAAAAAAAAACCTGTAAAGGGAAGGAAATATATTCAAAAGCTAAAGGCAAAGACATAACCTAGTCTGCCAAATGATTTATTCTGAAAGCAAGCCTAAATGGGTCAAGGGGCAAGTCAACATAAGCATGAACGCACAAGAACGCTAATTCAAATCTACTCAAAGATTTTTGTCTTCTCTGTCCTGTAAGAAAATTGTATTCCTTCTGCACAGTTGACCTCATTTTAGATGCCAAGATAACAGTAATCTGTGGGAAAAATTAGCTTCATCCTTTCGTTCATTCTCCTCTCCATTCCTCCTGCACACTGTGTCTAGCATCTGTATTACTTTTCATGTTGTCACCGTAGCTGGTATGTTGTCACATCTTTTCTGGTCCTATCTTTGACAGTTTGCCAGCAATGTTCTACATTAAACATTAAAGCCTTCCTGCATGATTTAGAGGGGGTTTTACATGCTGTAGATCTTTTGTAATGTTAGAAAGGCTATAGGTGGCTGTTACTATGGTTTCACACTCTCACTTCTGAAGTCTGTATAAATGTACTGCTTCGCACTGATTTTTACCCATCTGTCTCTTCCTATAACATGCTCAAGAATTACTGCTCACCTGAAGCTGTAATAACTCTGACAACACATCACAAAAAAGGCAAGACTGATTTTCTTGGGTGCCGCTTTTTGTATATAAGGTTGCATCTTTTATGTGCAGAGGGATCAAAAGGAAAGCCTAGCACCAAAACACTCAAAATCAGAGATCCAAATTGCCCACCCCTCTTAGCCACAAATAAAGCAGCAAAATGAAGTGTCTTCCAAATAAAGGGTAAGTTAGTTTCTGAATGAAAAACTGAAATTTAAGGTTTATATCCACTTCAATCTGGTGTAAGTGATATGGATGGGCAGATAGACCTCTCGTGTAGTGGGGAGTGGTACTTGAGAAATTTCTTTAGCTGTGTCTGGAGTGTTCACTTCTAACTGAATTGGCTATATCTGTACAAAGAAATCAAAGGAAAAAAATCTATACTATCCTCCCTTTTATATTGCTTAATTACCTGTAGTGCTAGAAGTATTTCAGTTCCAAAACCTTTCATAAAAACCCTTTTGTTAGGTACATACTTGTCAACCAGAGATTTCCAATATCTTCTTGCTTATTTCTTTTGTCCATTTACAGCCTATTAGGACATGAGGAGATATTTTCATTGACATGCTATTCCAATTGCTATTCCTAGGCAACATTTTTGATGATGAAGAATGGCCAATGTGATTTTCTAGTTGCTATATGAAAAGCAACCACTTAAAATCAGGTGGATATTTTTGGCTGCAGCTCAATCCTTATTAATGTATGTTTCATTTTAAGTGTGGTCAAATTACTAAGTGCAGAACCTATAATAATGAACATAATGATGTGAAATAAAGACTTTTAACATAATGAGTATCTAACAGCCACATATCACAGTAATCTCTAAATAACCTTCAATTCACACCATAACATGGATGTTAGTGGTAGAAATTAGAGTCAAAAATACCTATTTGGTCATGTATTTCATGTATTCACTTAATTGTTCCCTAAAGTATATTTTCTAATGCTGTGTGTCATCTAGATTTAAATGTACCTAGCAATAAAGCTTCTACTACTTCCCTTTTGGGACTGTCGCCATGTAATAGATTTCACAATTGGGAATTTTTACTCTATTAAATCTTGGGAACATAATTTACCTTTTTAGAAGTAGAAAAATAAGGAAAACATAATAAAAGTAAAGATATTTATTAACTAAAAGCTAGGAGGAGGCATCACTGCAAATCAGGCATCCTACTTCTCTTAACAGTCCACTGATACTGTTGTCATTTCCTGTTGTGCGAATCAGCTCTTGCATGTTTCATCACATTTCCCTAAGGTAAAGGCAAATTCTACCCATGCCTTTTACTGTGTCATTTAGCCCTTATTTCTCATTTCTTTTTTGTAGCTTCAAGTTTGCCTTGTCCTTGGAAATCAACTACTGAAATGCCTACGTAACAGACAAATTTATTTAAGTTAGAATTTAAAAAAATAATAATATACATGGAAAAAATAGATTTAAAACAAATAATGAGAATTTTGAAGTCTATAAAGATCTCTTAACCTTACAGAGACACTAACTTAGTCCCCAAGAAGGGGAAAAAACTTCAATTAGCAACATAACAAACCCTATCTCTGACTGATGCCTAACTTGCAGAGATCTGTTAATGAAGATAGGCTGTTCTTCAAACTTTTTTCAAAGTAGTTGATCAAGGGCAAACAAGATAATTCAATAGTGGTTAAACAGTTTACTACTAGCCAGTAGGCTACAGAATATGAATTAACAGACAGATAGCCATCCATTCTTAATAATTCCCTTGCATATAACATGCTGACTATCTTGACAGTTATTAAGAATCAACAAAATGCATATTCAGGGATGTAAAATAGCTGAATCACTATCAAACTACGTAGTACAAGGTGCTACGAAGAGCAAAGAAAGACATAAAGTATGGTAAAGGGCAAATGAGGAAAGAAAACGTGTTCAGGTTTATGTACATCTAATAACAGTTTAAAAATAAGTTAGAGTGTTACAGAAGAGAAATATTCAATTTTTAGTAGGAAAAACAGAAACACACACATGCATAGTCCTGGACAGTTGCCAGACAGCAGATCAAAGATTCTCTAGAGCACTGAAAATTTTTGAAATATGCAGGCAGCATGAGGAAGAACTTCTGCTCTTCAGAGCAAGCAGAAAAAACAAGCAGCACACTTAAATCCAGCAATCCCACACTGATTCTGCAGAACAGTTCCTATGATAATTACTTTATTTCCCTACAGCCTCTTTTTCTCCCTTACCTCAATTTCAAATCCCATAATTTTAGGCACTTTCAGCCTCTGCATCCTGGAGTATACGCTCTACAATTAGAGTGTTACTTTCACAGACAGGTGCCTTATCTTGTTGTTCAGCTGTTTTTAATTGCTTACTGTTGTCTTTTCTTTAGTATGCTGAAAGCAGTCTATTTCCCATTATCAAGGTTGTAGTTCTTCAATGACCAGTAATTAATTGACCATCTGCAGCTTGTTTATAGGTCTAGGTCCTTGATTTTCTACTAACTTTTTAAGGCAATTTCTATTATCTCATGCTTAAGTTCTACATCATAACAAGAGACACCTGGTACTAAGCTCCAGTTCACATAGCAGATTCTCAGAACAAGTTGATAACAAGTGGAATAGGTCAGGAAACAGTATTTGTACAGTCAGCAAAAGCTTAAGTTTGCATTTTTTATTGGAACATTGCTTACTGTTCCCATTATTTAAACTAACACTTTTTTGTTTGTTTGCTACATATGAGGGAAGGGGAAAGCGAGAGACTGAAAAGAAAAAAAGACATGTTCAGTATTAGCAAATGAATTGTAAAATTTACTTGTAAAATTTAAGCAGATGCTATACAAACATGTCTAATCGAAGTATTTCTGGTAAAAAGAACTTTACTTCTGCATTTTCAGCTTTCGAAGAATTAATGTAAAGAACAAATTTCATATTTTGGTGACAGCTTTTTGTTTTTGAGTTTTTATATTTAATTGGAGGTCAGAGTATGGAACAGATGCTTTATGTGGCTTGTACTTTTACATAAAATGAGCTTCTTTTTCTTGCTTGGTGATTAAACAGGAATTAACTTGCACCACTCCAAGTAATTTATTCTAGCCTTGGTATTCTTGTAGCTATCTATTCACATTTCTTAATATAATGGTTTATATGACAGTTGGAGTGGAATTCCAAGGTCACAGCCTGAACCAACACATGAGTACATGAGTGCCTGGAGAGGAGTGGGGCTAGAGTCACCCCTTCTGTCTCAGTGATGCTTCCAGGAGTGCATGTGCAGTCTGAGTCTGCCTGGGTTTCCCTTCCCTACACCCTTCCCCTGTGGTGTGAGAGTATGAATGGGAGAAGGCTGCATTATTCAGCTCTCCCCTTTCTCCAAACTTTGCTGGGAGGGGTAAATTAATTCCTCTTTGATATCCTTTCCTATAGCACCTATTTCTCAAATAAAGCCCCTGTCATAACCTTTGTTTGCTCTACAACAGTGAAGTTGCAGTTGTGTTCTCTTAGTCTACTTCATTATTATGTAAGTATAATTTGGGACAAAATATATAAATACATTCATGGAATATTATTCTGGAAGCATCAGTCTCTTTACTATACACACAAATAAAGAAAAACTTTCTCTAGAAATGTCACTGTAGTTAGTTCTAGTCACTTCAGTGTATTACTAGAGGTGCAAATGGAAAAATTCTGACATCTTCAAATTACATCTCCAGTGGCTATTTAAATAATTAAATTGATTTTCTAAATTGATACCTCTTTTGATTTAGTTGTTAGATTAGCTTCACAGTGATGTTTCCAGTCTATCTGGATGTTTGTTACACTTTAATTCACTGAACGACGTTTTCTTTGATAAAACCAAACTGCTAAATGCTAAGTAGATTCTGTTAATATGAAAAACATTAGGCTTTAATAAGCATACTGCTATTTTTAAATTGCTATTAAAGTACTTCTGTAAATTGATTTAATGTATGTGTTTACTTTTAAAATCCAGACAAACTAGTTAGAAGCAAGGAGACCTGACATGCCAGCTGATAACTTTTTAAATTTTTTCCTAGTAAATTTTGGTACTTGGAAAATTAAAGAAGTATGGAACACTCTGGTGTTTCTTTGTATGGGCATAATATAACTTTTAAAGGAATTTTATTTTTATTTGTTAAGTGTAGACAGCAAAACAAGTCAATGAAAAGTGGAATGCGAGTGACTTTTTCCTCTTTATTTAAGGAGGAAAGTTTGAATCTTTGATCAAGCACTGGAACAGGCTGCCCAGTGTGGAGTCCTCATCCTTGGACATATTTAAATTGCAGGCCAGTCCTGGGAATATGATGTAACAACTTATTCTAGATGTCATTTCTAGGTAGTGGAAGAAAATAAGGGTATCAGGAATAGTCACACCAGAAGTCTGTGCTGCCATTCAGCAAGATCTGAAGAGGCTGGAAGCTTGGGTGTAGAGGAACCTTATGAAGTTTACCATGGGCAAATGTAAAGACCTGTATCTGGGGAGGAATAACTATAGGCACCAGTACAAGTTAGGAGCTGACCTGAAAGAAGCTCTGTGAAGAATGAGCTGGATGTCCTGGTGGACAGCAAGTTGATTGTGAGCCAGAAGTATGTGTCTTCTTGGCCCTTGTGGCCAAGAAGAATAAATGGTATCCTGGGATGCATTAATAGGAGCGTAGCAAGCAGATTTGGGAAGATTATCCTTCCCCTCTTTTCTGTCCTGGTGAAGGCACATCTGGAGTATTGTGTCCCATTCTGGGCTCCCCAGTTCAAGGAAAACTGAGAGGGGAGATTTATCAATGCTTATAGATACCTAAAGGACAGGAGTCAAGCTGATGGAATCAAACTCTTTTCCCAGCAAGAGAACAAGAGGCAATGAGCATAAGCTGAAACATACAAAATTTCATATGAACATGAGGAAAAGTTTCTTGAAATTGAGGGTTACAGAGCATTAGAATAAGTCCAGAGAGTTTGTGGAGTCTTCTTCTCTGAACTAGATAATCATAGAATCATAGAAGGGTTCAAGACCTTTAAGATCATCTAGCTCCAACTCCTCTGCTATAGGCAGGGACACCTCCCACTGAACAAGTAACTCAAAGCCCGAATCAGCCTGGCCTTGAATGCCTCCAGGGAAACCAGGTCCACTGTCTCACCACCCTCACAGTAATTTTTTTTAATATCTAATCTAAATCTACTATCTTCCACTTTAAAGCCATTTCCCTTTGTCCTGTTGCTCTGTCCTTCTAAAAAGTTCCTCCCCTGCTTTCCTGTAGGCCCCCTTGAAGTACTGGAAGGCTACTATAAGGTTTTCCCAGTTCCCTTCCTTTCCCTTCCCCAGTCTGAAGAACCCCAACTCTATCAGCCTATTCCTTGTAGGAGATATGCTTCAGCCCTCAGATCATCTTCCTGGCCCTTCTCTGGACCTGTTCCAACATTTTGATGTCCTTCTTGTGTTAGAGCCCCAGAACTGGGCATAGTACTCCAGGTGGGGTCTCTTGAGATCAGAGTAAAGGGAACAATGGATATCCAGAGATTCTCTTCCAATCTCTACAATTCTGTAATTCTGTGATAATCTTGAAAGTCTTTTTCAGTGTAAATGAGTCTATGATTTTATGAAGTATGAAACAATATAGATAATGACAATATGGTTGGGGTCTTGAGTGTGTAATGGGGTACTCAAGTAGAGAGATAATTATTTAACACATTAACCTAGCAGCTATGCAAGCTTGCTATAGGGCATAGTAGTAGTAGGTGGGCATCAAATATACCAGATTTAAATATTTTTGTTATATAAAGACAGGATATGGTTCCATCAGAACGAAATTGGCTGTGTATGCCTTTTAAGCACAATAAAGTTATGTGCTATTCCTTCATGGACAGAATCTCTAGGATTTATCAGTATGTATAAAGTACAAGTAAAACTATTTAATTCTAATCTGTTCTGACAAAATCAGCTATGTCGGATAACTAGGTTCGCATAACAATATTTTGAGTAGGATCATTAATTTTCTCTCTGATTCAAAGCTCCAAACATATTTGAAGATACTTTGTTCCTGAGCTTTTGCAGTAAATATATGAGAGACAAGACTAAGATCGATTTCTAATAGATATCTCTAGACCTTCAGAAACAAACAATGTGTTCACGCCCTATTTTTAGTATATCGCATATTTCTGTTTCATTCTGTAAAACTCAGTTTCATAGGCTTGAGTTGACTTCTACCAGAGTAAAGACCATTTGGAAAAATACATGAAGTAACTGTTATGTTTTAGACCCACAGGAGTTCCAGAAATGCTAGGCAACAAAAAAAATGCCAGGAGTGCTTTAATGTGATTCACCTTCAGCAGTGTGACACAATGCCTTCTGAGAGATTAGGTTTGCAGACTGACATATACATTGTAATGTAGTTAAGATGAAGAAGAGGTTGTAATTGATCGGAAGACTGCTGAAGCAAGATCTGCCTACTGTGGCCCTGTTTTTTTTCCACATCCTTTCAAGTGGTTTATAAGAGCAGACTCCCACACACTTTATGGATATTTCACAATGTAGAAGGTGAACAAAGTTTCTTAAAAAATTTCTTTCAAATGCTTCCTTTTGTTTTTCCTATCTGTGTAAAAAAAAAAAAAAAAAAAACATTTCTTGTGGTTTAAGAACAAGTTACTTTGTGGATATTAAATGGAGCTGGATACCAAAACACCTTAAACATAGATGTACACAATTTTACACTTTAGAGTCTGTCCCTGTTCTGTGGGAGAGAGGATGCTTTTGGAGAGAAGTCAGGCAGGTTAGTGCAGCAGTCTGGTAAGTAGTTTTGGTGCTGAGTCACATGCAGAGTCTGCTGGGATTTTGAGGAGACAGTCCTAACACTGGTTAGGCATCCTGAAGCCCCCTCAGAATCTCACAGGTTCTCCTTTTGCTGAGTCCTCTGCGGAATATCTTCTGCCTTTTCTCAGTTACTGTGGGTATTCTTAAGCATCTTCTTCTGTAGGCTTGGATACAGAATATCTCATTGATGATTATCAATTTGATATCTCATCAGATTGAACTATATTGATTTGCTTTTGCAGTTGGCTCTTACTCTGCTTGCTCTATGTATCTCCTTAAGCACGCAAAAATCAACTTTCTGTTGTTTGGAGAAGATGGTTGATCATATTTTTTTTACTACAGCAGAAAGTTGGTTACATTTCAGGGGCTGATTATAGCAATTAGGCTAACTAGGCCAGACTTGTGCTAACTGCTATACTATTCCACTTCACTATGAGATCTGAATTGTAAAACAGAGTGGAAGGGGAAAAAGGAGATTATTTCCTTTCTGAAGAATTGTGAATAAGACA